CCTAGACCTGATGCTTACTCAAGATAAAGAAAATGTAGACAACTTGAAATCTGAAGTATCACTAGGAGCCAGTAATCACTGCATTATCATATTTGATTACATTGGGTCGGGAAAAGGCAGGAGGAGATAAATGCGTGGCTACAAGAGGGTAGTCGAAGTAGTAGTCTAAGAGGCAAGGAATGTCAGCAAGTGAAATGCACTATAGGGATATCTTTAAAGGGAAGGGGGGGGGGGGACTCAAAGTTGTCCAAATGCTTTCAAATTTTGTGTACATAATCTACCAGGCAAATGCACCAACTTTGTCTAAATGATCACCAATGCAAATTCCACAACAATAACAGGAAAAATAAAAATTAAATGGAGAGATTGGAAATTGCTGGTTTTCAAATTGGCAATTTGAACACTTAAACACTTTTTCCCTAAGTTTATTTATTGATTTTATAAATATTTATAAACATGAAATATTTCCATAAATTTTTAGGGAACTATTTATATAGTAAGTAAGTAATTATTAAAAGAAGGCACCAAACCGGGAAGACTATGTAGCACCATCAAATGTGCGGAATAATCAGAGGGCGCTAAATATCACCAAGGATGCCAATACAAGAACAGAAACGCATAAGGCAAGCGATATCAAAAGTATCAGATTCACCAAGAATTCTATCGAGAGACAAGTGCCCACGAGGGACGATCGGAAAGCAAGACACACGCTCGTCCCGTTAGTCAGGACATTCAACAAGGATATGCATGACAGTAAGAGGGGACAATGCAATTTGGACAATAAGGAGCTGGGCAGCACTCCATGAAGTGACCGCGAGTTAAGTGAGTATGGCCAAGACTCAACCTTGCCAGAGCCGGTTTCCACCACCGGTTACGGTGGCAAGAGGAAGGCCATGGGGACACACAATGCTCAAGAGTACGCAGTTTGTCATCAACAACAGAAGACCAGCAACCCTGCCAAAAGGTAAGGATGAAGGAATGAATAACCGGGTAAAAGTCGGAAAAAGGAATACCTTTACAGGAAACAGGAAAAGAGCAGATAGCCTCTCTAGCAGCAGTATCCGCACGCTCATTTAAAGAAACACCAATATGGCTGACAACCCAGCAACAAAACTATGTATTTAAATTTACTAGTGATAAGAAACAGCCAATGTTGAATCTCGACGACTACCGGATGGACAGGATTAAAGGACCCAAGAGCCATGAGGGCACTACGACAGTCAACTACAATCACAAAGGACGATTGACAACGAGAAAGCAGGAGAGAGAGCATGGAGAATAGCATAAAGTTCCGCTGTGAAAATGCTAGTCTCCGAAGGGAGGCGACATATAAGTGCAGTCAGGAAAAAACAACAGAGTAGCCCACACCGTCCGCAGACTTAGACCCATCGGTGAAGAAGGAAACGGAGCGGGAGTGTGAATAAAAGTGCTCCAGAAAAAGGTGTTTCAGAACTGTAGGAGTAAAAGCTTTAGTAATGCGGATCAAGGATGCACAAAACTTAGGAAGGGGGACCCTCCACGGGGGCAAGGAAGGAACAATACGTGGAGACTATGAAAGAAAACGAATGGAAAGAGTCCTGCAAGCGAGATGGCTGGACAGAAAGAGGGAGGTGGTGAAGAGGAACAGGAACTACAGGAGGGGTAAGAGTTAAAGCACGACAGAGGCGAGAGGAAGGATGTTGCAAGGACCACGCCAGATAGCGAAGACAGTTGCAATCACGGCGGTCTTGGAGAGATAGGAATCCAGTGTCAACATACAAGCTAAGGGTGGGAGTCAAACGAAAGGCACCAGAGCCAAGGCGCAACCCAGCATGGTGCAAAGAATCAAGACAGCGAAGAGTAGGAGGAGTAGCGGACAAGTAAGTAGGGCAACCATAATCAAGTTTAGACATGACGAGTGAGGAATGTAATGAGGAGCGTACACCTATCAGCCACCCCCCCCCCCCCCAAGAAGTATGGGACAAAACCTTAAGGAGGGACATTACCTTAGAGCATTCAGCGCGGAGGTAAGAGATATGGGCTGACCAAGACAAACGAGTGTCAAAGATTAACCCCAGATGCTTAGCGGACTCCATGTACACAAGGGGATGTCTGTAAAGTGACAAAGAGGGACGAAGAACGACACGCTTCCAAGTTAAAGTCATGACAAGTCTTAATACGCAGAGAACTTGAAGCCATGATCGGTGGGTGACCCAAGACGACACGTCATCAACTGCAAGTTTAAGCCATCGTTGAAGGAAAGGCGAATCATCACCTCGACAGCAAAGGGTAAGATCGTCGACATAGAGAGCGGAGAAGACGCCAGAAGGAAGGGAGGAAAGAAGACCACTGAGAGCAACAAGAAAAAAAAAATAGTAGTGCTCAGAACACTACCTTGGGGAACACCCTCATATTGCCGAAAAGGGGCAGAGAGAGTAGTACCAAGCCTCACTCGAAAGGAATGGCGAGTGAGGAAACTTTGGAGAAAGAGAGGGAGATTCCCACGAAGGCCAAAAGAATGACGTGAATGAATATGATACCGCCAAGTAGCGTCGTAAGCCATTTCCAGGTAATAAAGGACGGCAACAACGGAGGTCTTCGCAGTAAAAGCAGTACGAATATAGACCAAGTTCACCAGGACATCCGTTGTGCTACGGCATTTGCGAAAACCAAATTGGGAAGGGGAAAGGAGGTGATAGTGCTCCAAGAACCACATCAGACGAATGTTAACCATACGTTCAAAGAGGTTGCAGACAACTCTGAGGGCAATAGGGCAGAAGTCCTTGGGGGATGACCCGAGAGACCCTGGTTACCGAACAGGGAGGACAACAGCATCGAGCCAGTCCTCAGGGACTGACGACGACTCCCAGACCCGATTGTAGAGACTCGGTAAATACCGAGACGTGCACGGAAGGAGATGTCTAAGCATTTCATAATGAATGCCATCGGAGCCTGCCGCTGTAGAACCACGGAGAGCTAGGGCAGACTGAAGCTCAAAGAGAGAGGGGATCGTTATAGGGAAGGCGAAGATGAGTACAGAAATCTAAAGGACGAGATTTAAGAATAGGCTTACGAAGAAGGAAGGATTGGGGAAGATGAGAACCAGAACTAACAGATTAAAAGTGGGAACCCAGTTCGGTCACAACCTGCAACGGGTCCGCCACAAGAGCACCACGGAGGCAAAGGACCGGCGAGACATCGGGAACGAACTTACCCGCTATCTTGCGGATACGCTTCCAGACCACTGGCAGACGAGTTTCGGACATAACGGTGGAGACATAAGACATCCAGCATGCACGTTTTGCCGCATGGATGGTCCTACGGGCCACCGCACTCGCCTTCCGAAACAAAAGAAAAGACTCGACCGTCAGCCAGCGGCGATGCCTCTTCCAGGCTGCACGCTTACAGCGGACAGCCCGAGCACAGTCCACATTCCACCATGGAACGCACTTCCGTGTTCCCCGAGAGGTTAGAGTGAGGAATAGAAAGGAGGGCAGCGCCAAAGACAGTCATGAAAAAGAAAGAGGGTGCGAGGGAGAGGCAGAACGGAGAAGTCTGAAATAGTAGCACGGAGAGTAAAGAGGCGCCAGTCAGCCTCGGCAAACCACTACCTAGGGAAAAAAGAGAGGAGGGTGAAAAGAGAAAAAGGAAACAGGGATAGGAAAATGGTCACTGCCATGGAGGTCATCAAAGACCCGCCACCCGATGACGGGATGACGAGCACAGAGAAAGATCGAGACAGGAAAGGGAGCGAGTCTGGAATCCAAATGAGTGGGCTCACCAGAATTCAGTAAAGACGGGGAAGAAGAGGATGAAAGGTTCAAGGAGGCGACCCTGGGTGTTTGTCAGCACATCACCCCAAAGGGCATGTCGACAATTGAAATCAGCCAGCAGGAGCACAGGCTCCGGCAAGGAGTCTAGGTGGCGTTTAAGATCGGGAAGAGAAAGTGGGACAGTGGAGGGGGAGATAAATGGAACCAACCATGTACCATTTACACACAAAGACACGGGCAGCAGAAGTGGAGAGGCGATTAAAAAAGTAAGGGGACAAAGAGAACATCGAAGAGAATCAAGAAAGCAGAAGAGTTATGGGCCCCAGCAACAGCTTGGGAAGAAAATAATAGCCACGGAAGCGACCAAGATGAGCACCAAGCATCGGCTCCTGGAGAGACAGACACAAAGGGGCGAAAACTGTGAAATTAGAAGTTGGAGGTCAAGGAAATTGACGTAATATCCACGGATATTCCAATGAAGAATAGACATCAACAAAGAGAAAGGATAGCAACAGAGAAAGAAGAAAGGTGAAAAAGGAACACAGCACATTAAAGAAGCACAGGGTCAGGATCAGGGTCAGCGAAGTCAGAGTTAGGGGGCATGGGTAAACTGAGTAAAGGAGGGAAAGGAGCGGGAGGGCAGACCAGAGGTGGATGAGCAGGGTCCGGAGGAAGAGGAGACAGACAGAGAGGGGCGGGCAAGGAGAGCAGGAGGAGGGGCAGAAAGAGGGGAGCGCACCTCAGCAAGAGCAGTAACCGAGACGGAATCGGGGGCTAAAGAAACCGCCACGGTAGGAACAGGGGGGCTCTACAACCGAAGCAGGAGCGGAAGGACTGATAGAATCAGAAACAGGGTTTACCTGGAGAGGGTTCCAAAAGTTGTTCTACTCCCCAAGCCTAGCCTGGGACCAGGCTCAATTAATGATGACTTAGTCTAACATGCTGTTACTTTGAGAGGCCCGCTAACCCCTACATTCACTACAACCCAGTTGGTCCAACTCTTCTTGTAGAAACTTATCAAAGGGATTCTTGAAGTAGTCCGCCTTTGTTCCAGCTATATTTCTAATACTTGCAGGGAGAGTATTGAATAGCCGTGGACCTCTGATGTTCATAGTGGTCTTAGATTTATGCCTACGGCAACTCTACTCATCACTGGTTCTATTCTACATTTCCTTCCATATCTTTTGCTGCATTAAGACAAAAAATGTATTCCCCTACTGAGTACACATAATTAAATTTATTACTTACCTCCTCCATAAACTATACGTGTTTCCTTAACAGTCTGTGTAAGGACACACAAGGCATCGTGAATAGAACGTTCAGCTTCTTCTAAAATTTGATTTGTTGCTCCACGCAGAACAATGGTACAGGCCTCTCCCAATGCAACACCACTTAATCGAATCATCCGATCTTCACCGACAATACACTGCCAGAAGAAAAAAAATGTAGCCGATTATCCTTTTTAATAATTAAATATTAAATTGAATTGTCATGCAGTAAGTAATTATCAAAAGAAGGCACCAGACCATGAAGACTGACAGTACTATAGATAAAGAAACTATTTAAATTATTTGAAATGTTTGATACACCAGTTCTAACCTGTTTAGTGAACTTTTATTGAGAGCTTGGATTCGGGCTCTCTTGTGCATGCATGCGTGTATAATTTATTTTTAGAATATATAAGGAGACCTACATTACACACAGAAATCACAGTGCGATGCATTAAATGAACAAATCCACACGGGCCGTGATGAGGGTTCGAACCTACGTCCAAGAGGATCCCAGACGCTGCCTTAATCGACTGAGCTACGACATAGTAAAAGAACTGTTACCGGAAGTTCTACTGACCTTACTCGAATCCTGCAGCCTCTTCGGGAGACAAGCTAAGATTTTACACAATTCCCCCATGCACCCGAGCTCTGTCAATAAGCCTAGTAAGGTCAGTAGAACTTCCGGTTGCAATTCCTTTACCATGTCGTAGCTCAGTCGATTAAGGCAGCGTCTGGGATCCTCTAGGACGTAGGTTCGAACCCTCGTCACGGCCCGTGTGGAACTGTTCAGACCTACATTTTTACTAATAGTATATTTTACCATACTTCTTAATTGCCACTAGAGTTGTTAGGATTTTACAACCATGTTCTTCTCACTAAGAAATTTTTAATATTAATAAAAGAACTGGAACTATTACACTTAAAAATGCACTGCAAATTGTCCTGGTATAAATGTTACAAATTTATTAAACTGCTTATATTTTTTATAACTGTCCATTATGTATAGTCATTTACCAATACTAATAACAATTCCCTATTCATAATCATTATCTAGAATCGTTACTTGAAATCCATACAAATAACATATGGTATACTAATTACCATATACCGTATACCAGTAATATATACATATAACATGTTATACCAATAAACTATACCTTAACATATACGATCATTATGTATAGCAGAATAATATTTTAAACTAAATTATATTTAGTCCAGTTCTTCCTACTTGTAATCTCAACATTTTGCAATGACAGACCTCACAATGAAAGTTCCCAATACAGAACACAAATTTAAGTTGCAAATCTACTCAAAGAAGTATTATGACAATTTGGAACCAATGCAAAGAAATGACATACTGTTGTCCTGACATTCTGGAGTAAAATATAAAACTACTGTGCATGCGATAAGTCACAATAACGTGGCTAAAGTATATTGAAGGTGAAGGGATGACGACGTTTCCGTCCGTCCTGGACAACTCTCAAGTCGATTGACTTGAGAATTGTGCAGGACAGACCAAGACGTCGTCGTCCCTTCACCTTCTAGTGTGTGGTCTGGTTAACAAATTAAACTATTGAACTGGGAAAATGGCAAAACTTTATTAAGATACATCACCTTCAAGCAATGGGTTCTGGAACTATGCAGCAAACTTCTTAGTTAAAACTGATGTTTATTTTTCAGTTTGTAGTTTCCTTATAAACTAAACATATTTTGATATAAAGCATACAGAAGTTTACAGGCTATGCATCTATCGGTATCTGAAAAAGATTTATGGGAAAACCTTAGCAAATTAAGCTTAAACAGAGGACAAATTTTAACTGACTAACCTCTTCGATTAAATCACAACGCCCTAGTTTGACGAGTTCAGGGTTATCAAATGTGGATACAATTTCTCCACCAGTGACCAGTGCTAAACGCTCGATGCCATCAAAGTCGGCATGTTCAATAGCCATCACACCTGCATCGGCAAATAATTGCTCAGGGTAGTTGTAGATCAGCTGT